GTTGGCCTCCAACTCCAAATTTTTATATATAGGGCGATAGCCCGTAAAGTGAAAACGAGCAAAACGAGGCGAAGCCTGGGAGACGAAGCAATTTCCCAAATTGCGAAGGCGTTTTAAAAAACTTCCCCTATTGCGAAAAATGGCGAATGAGAAATGTAATTTCGAATGAGCCGTATTACTGTTAAAAGTTATGTCAAAAAAACTAAAATTAAAACCCTTAACCAATACTGAACGCAGCCAATTATTGCGGGCCCGTAAATTATTAGAGTTAGAAAAAAAATACTGACGCGGCAACTGAAAAATCCGTAAGGAAATAGAGCAAACCCACCACGGAAATTTATTGAAAAAATGGGAGGAAGCTCGCCAAATAATCGGAAAAATTACTTCGCATTTGGGTAAACCCCGTGCCCGCAAATATTACCCTAATCGCCCTGCTACCAGCACTGAAAGAAACCGCAAGAGGAGACGAAAAGAAAAATTTCAGCGGGAGTTAGCCAAAATTAGCCAGCAAGAGTTTTATTATTGTAATAAATGCGACCACGCACGCAAACATGACAATGTAATTATCTTTATTAAATGTCTGTCTTGTCATAAAGGCAAATACTACCCAAAAACCTAATGCAACGAAACACTATTTTTAGCAATTTTTCCCGTAGCGTTAAACTATATAAGGCCTTTACAAGAAAAAGGGAGATGCGACGCTATTAAACCAAAAATAATCCCAAATAAAAAACTATATAATATATAATAAAAGAAAATTTACCAATGCCAAGTCTTAACGAAAAGCATTTCTTGCTAGGATAAAACGCGTCCTTGTTCACTTTCCGCTTTCTCATGTTACATATATTTTACGATATAGGGGAAGTTTATTTTGCGGTCAATCTCCTAAACATACCCCCTTTTTAAATACTTCCGTAAAACCTTTTTCCTCTCCTTACTTATTACTCCGTAATACTTACTTTTCACACATTCCAAACAAAGAATTTTCTCCTCTACTTCCAAGCCCCAAAACACGGGATTATTGCGGTTTTTGGCTTTTCCTGTGTGCCCCGCCCCCTTTAACTCTTTACTACAAGCTCCACAAATGAAAAATTCTTGTTGACTCTTGCGAAAACCCACCGGACGATAACTTCCTAACTCTTTCTCATATTGCCTTTCCTCCAACCTCACCCCAGTTTTTATTTTCTCCGTTCGGTCCTTTTCCTCACCAGTTTTTTTCTCTTGCTCCTCGCTTTCGCCAATTTCCTGTAAATACTGCTGGCGATAAAATTCCTGCCACTCTTTCCTCACCAGTTTCACCATCTCCTTATAGTCAAAGTCATGCGTGCTGCCGTAAGGGTCGGTTAAACGGCAAGAATATTCGCCAGCGTCTCACGGCTCAATTAGGTCAAATTCCCCTTCTCAATCCAAATTTAAAGCGTGTAATCGTCCACAGCCTCCGTGCCATTTCGGACACCGAATTTCCCACTCATCCAAATTTCCGCCCGCATTCGGCGGATAAAAACTGACTAGCCCTTTTTTAAGTTCTCCTTGCGTCTTTCTTTTCATGGTTTTTCCCGTGTGCGTATGGTATCTTATTTCTCGGTTGTTAAGTCGGTTCACCGACTAGAAAAAAATCTCTCTCGTTTTGTTTTCTACTCTGATAAATCATTACTTATATATTTTAATCATTTTGGCGGTTTTACTCCCTCTATTGTCCCCCATCCT